TCCTACTTGACTCCCCTCCTTCGATATTGCCTTGTTTTATGGCCATTTCTATCATCTCCCAGGCTATAACTAAGTCAGGAAAATTTCCAGATGTGATTGCAACCAGGTTCCTGAAGTAAGGAGCCTTCAGTGTTTGCACGAAGAGCTTCCTGGTTTCCTTCTCATCCAAAGGTGGATGAACTTGCGCATCTAAATCTCTCCATCTCTGTGCATATTTTCTGAAACTTTTATTATGCTTCTTCTCCATACTTTGTAGCATAACTCGATCTGGTCTCATATCATTTATATGTTTGTATTGTTCCAGGAATGAATTGGCTAGATCCTTTCAGGTCTTGATATGAGATCGATTCAGCTGGTTGTACCACCGGATGGCTGAACCAGACAAACTCTCCTAAAAGCAATGAATCAGGAGTTGGTCGTTTCCTACGTATCATGTCATCTTTCGATAGAACATGGTAATGTGGGCTGACGAGAAGCTATTCCCATTGAACTTCTCAAACTCTGAGGATTTGAATTTCGGAGGAAGAACCAAATTTGGGACTAAAATTAGTTCCGTGACATCGACTCCACAGTAGTCATGGTCTCTTTTAACCACCTTCATTTGGCCCTCCAACTGCTTGATTTTCTCTTCCATTTTCTTTGCCTTATCCTCTTCATCAAAATCCGGTATATGGTAATCATCGGATTATTCTCAGGATTGGATACATAAGTCTGTACTTTTACAGCTGACAAGGCCTTTGTTTTTGCAGTGGATGAATCCCCTTGAAGTCTTGGTAAGATTCCAGGTGGAACAACCATTTGCAAGGTAGCTGACGTAGTTACCCCTTCAGATGTCCCTACCTTAGATGCACTTGCTTGATACAGACCAGCTAATTTTGCAACAATTTGATCAACTAAAGACTCTTGACTTTTGGTGATATACTCCAGAGTATTTTGATTATTCTGACTTATTTTCTCCTTCAGCTCTTTTTACAACCTCAACATGTTCTCTTCGAGTTGAGCAATTTTGGCTTCTATTTTGTCTTTTCTTTGTGTGAGTGTTGTGAGGATGATTCGTGTCCAAAGCTTGTGGAGGTAAACCCGGTGTTTGTTCCCTCTTATGATGAGACATTTTCTGTTAGTTAATGTGAATTTAAAGAAATGAAGAAAAAATAACAAATGCAAAATATGTATAAATGCATGATGAATGAAATGTTTGAGGCATTGATCCAAAACTCGTCTGTTATTACAAATAGTCTTTATTAGGACAAAAGTGTTATTTCTTAAGAGACAAAAAATCTTAAAGGTACATTCTGACTAAGTCTTCTAGACCCCGAATAACTTCTAACAAGTTGACTAGTCTTTTTCCTTCATCTGTCACTGGCTAAATACCTTGTCGGACTACTCCAACTTCTCTTGCCAAACCGTGCAAGTGATGTGCTGCTTTTTGTACTTGCTCCAAGAAATCTCGAATGATTGCATCTCTAGCTTTCACCATTTGCTGAGCATGTTCCCTAACAGAAACACCATTGGAGCCCTCCATTGAAAGGAACTATCTGAAGTTCATTTGCTTGTTTCTTGAATTTGTCAACAATGGCCTCCAATTTCAGCTATCGTTTCGCCATCATGTTCTTGTTGTTTTTGAAGGGACTCTCTAGGTCAGTAACATTTTCCTCATCAATCCCTGCAACCTTTGCCAATCCATTTTTGAAAAGTTGACTTTTGATGTGCTTGGTGTAAACCCGGTCTATTCTGATTCCTTCGCAATGTAGCAAAGTGGTATATTCTTCGATTGTGGGTACCATGTCTTCTTGGTTAAATGTGAAATAGTTGTACCCCAGATTCCATAATTTTATCAAGGCTCAAATTAGGGCTCATCTATCTTGACATAGAGTAGAAGTGCGATATCACCATACCGCTGGCAGAATCTTCGCTTCTGGTCACTTTTCCAACTGTCCCAAATGCTCCACAGTTCTTGAACATCATTCTGCTTAAGGCTGACAGAAGCATAACTAACCAGATCTGACGCATAGTTCCCTTGCAGACTATCTCCCTTTTCTTTCTGAGTCTTTTCGGACCATAGTCGAACCTTCGCGTTTTTCACCTCTTGTAACACCCCCAACCCGTACTCGACCCGGGTACGAATCCAAGGTGTCATATTAACTTGTCAAAACATATTTATTGAAGAGATAATTAAAATTTAAATATACATGAGAATAAGTATGATAAAATCTTTAATTAAAATAGATAAACAACATTCGACTTATTTTGAAAAGTAAAAAATCTAAATAATTCACATAAATATAATATTGTAGGTTTACAAAAGTGATCAGGGATTATGTAATTCACACCTTTATCTACATGCCAAGATATTTATTATAATAAAATACATACATTGTAAATTACTTCTGATATGATCTTCTGGTAGAGGTATGTTGTCTTGGTATATTCTAATTCTGATATTCCTGCTTCTTGGAACCTATGTGTGAAACACTCACATGCTAAGTCACAGACTTAGTGAGGCATATAATACAATAATGCACTACCTAATTCATGAACATGCAATCATAACCATCATATAACTATTCAACCATAACATATATGATCAATCATTAACAAATAATAACATATCAACTTATAAGAAAGTAAATTCTTTTTATATCTTTTATGTGCCCATATACATTATTTAGAACTTAAGGCATGTGAGTACATTGAGGTTGTGCACATATGCTATCACCACAGCTCGTATAAATTTGTACTGAGTGCCATATAAAATTTGTCCCGAATGACCACATATATGTCTCGAAGGACCTTGTAGAACCCTTGACTCTTAGCATGCCAAATATACCCATAGCTCTCACATCGTATGACATGGGCTTTACCATTTATATGTTTCACATAGTCAACCAAACCATCACATATACATGTACTCATATAACTCATTTCATTTCTCATGTAATCCCATATGCTTATCTCATAACATATATCACATGTGCATATAAATACTTATATCATATCATGTTGCTTATGTTTCATTCTCTATGTTCACATAGATTATAACATATAAACATATACCACTTATGCATGTACTCGATATAATCATGACATCTATATGCTTATAACTATATAACCATGAAATCAACATAGGAAATAGACTTATCACAAGTCTTATTCCATAAAATACTATATAATATATCATGCACTCACCTTAGTCTCACTTAGTCCAATCAACTCCTATAATTTGTTTTCTCTCTCGATCGATCTTAACTCTTCGATTGTTCCGTAACTTGCTTATGTTCAATATCTACACAAATATACATTTGATACGAATATTAGAATTCTAATCCTTATGAATCGATCAACAATAACCCAAGCTAAAAGAAGTAATTCATTTAAATTTCAGCTTTAAGAAGTATAAGTACCCAATGTATGGTACTGATACTTCCTTTACTGTGGTATCAATATTATGCTTTGGTATCGATACCCTTTCCTGGTTTTGGAATTCCATTTCAATAATGGTATCGATACTTGCTTAATAGTATCGGTACCCTTGGTATCAATAATACCCTTTAGGTATCGATACTCCTTGAATAACTTATCCACTTTTGGCTTATGGTATCGATACTGTTCAACCAGTATCGATACCCATACCCCAAATATCACACATTTTCTCTTTAAAGTATCAGTACTAGATGAACAGTAATACCCCTTGCCTAAAATTCATTCCTATAACCCAAAAATTCACCAATACTTACTTAAACCTTTCATTTTGAACTCATTTCATGTCATTTAACTCAACTACACTTACTCAAACCATCTTATATCCATATAGCACATCATCATCTTCTATACATCATTATAAATCTTAAAACCAAGAATCTTACTAAACTTTCAACATGTTCTAATTTCCTTTCTAACACTTAATACTTCTTATTCCAACTGATGAGAAGTCAAATTTAGTCTCAAACTTCACTTACTAATCCCTTTCCAAAATTTCACTTGAACACCTTTTATATTAAATCTTTCCTAACTCTCTCATCTTTTGGTTTTAAGAAATCTTAAGCTTTCCTTAAGCTTAAGTATTATCTAAAGAACATTAACCAAGCTTAAATTTGATAAATAATCAACAAGCATGACACTCACATTTTCTAAATGGGGTTCACGACTGAAGGAGGAATAAGAATGAAGACAATTCTGGATATTTTCATTTCCCTTTTCATATTTCCACGTGTATATAACGTAACCAATACCAATTTTTAATTCATTTACTGGTCAAATGACCATTTTGCCCATCTATTCATCCTTCTTTGCTATTCAATCCTACATAAAAATATTCCACTTAAGTCCCTAAACTTTTCAATTTATCTAATTTAGTCACTAAATTTTAAAATTTTATAATTTGGTCACTAACACGATGTTTGGGATGTTACAAATCTCTCCCTTAAGAAAATTCATCCTCGAATTTTCACTGAACAAAGAGATGGGGGTACTGATTCCGCATATCCTCTTCACGTTCCCACGTTTCTTCCTCTACTTTGTGATTTCTCCATAAAACCTTGACCAATGAAATAGTCTTATTCCGTAACTGTTTCACCTCATGCAAATATTTGCACCGGTTCTTCCTCATAGGTCAAGTCTGGCTGAACTTCTATCTCTTTTGGTGTAACAATATGGGAGGGATCAGACCTATACCTTCGAATCAAATCAGAACCAAAAACTTCTCGATCTTTAAGCTCGTACCAATTTAAGGGCGTACGACACTTTCTCCCATATAAAGCCTCATATGGAGCCATCTTGATGCTTGACTGATAGCTATTGTTGTAAGCGAATTCGGAAAGTGGCAAGTATTTTTCCCAAGACCCTTTAAACTCGATCACACATGCTCTTAACATATCTTCCAGAATTTAGATAGTATGCTCGGACTGTCCATCTGTCTAATGATGAAACGTTGTGCTAAATTTCAATCGATTTCCTAATGCTCCATGTAAAGTCTTCCAAAATCTCGATGTAAATCGAGGATCTCATTCAGAAACAATCGAAACAGACACACCATGTAATCGGATAATTTCCTTGATGTACAGTTCAACATACTCATCAATGGAGAAATCAACTCGTACTGGAATGAAATGCGCTAACTTTGTCAGTCGATCAACTATCACCCAAATCGAATCTCTTTTATTTGGAGTGATGGGTAACCCTATCACAAAATCCATCATCACATTCTCCCAATTCCATTGAGGAATGTATATTGGTTGCAACAATCCTGACGGAACATGATGCTCAACTTTGACTTGCTGACAAGTTAAACACTTAGACACAAATTCTATAATACTTCTTTTAATTCCTGGCCACCAATACCGACTTTTGAGATTCATATACATCTTGTTTCCACCCGAGTGCAGCGTCAATGAACTATAACGAGCTTCTATCAACAACTCATTCTTCAATTCCTCATCATTTGGAATCACCAGTCCTTCATGATAGCACAGATTCTCAACAGACTTAATCTCAAAATCTTTATTTTCTTCATTCTTTAATTGTTTTAATATTCTCAATAACTTTTCATCTTTATTCTGCAATTCTTTAATTCGATCCAACAAGGTTGGCCTAAGCTTCAATTCTACACACAATACACAATCTCCATCCATAGACAACCTGATATCTAAAGCTCGTAAGGCTGCAAAAGTTTTTTGACTTAAGACATCCGCTACCATATTTGTTTTTCCAAGATGGAAATCAATTATCAAATCATAATCGTTTAAAAATTCAACCCATATTCTTTGTCTCAAGTTTAATTCTTTCTGAGTCATCAAATACTTCAAGCTCTTATGATCCGTATAGAGATAACAACGTTCCCTATATAAGTAGTGACACCAAATCTTGAGAGAGAACACTACTACAACCAACTCTAAATCATGTGTTAGATAGTTCTTCTTATATGATTTCAATTGTCTAGAGGCATAAGCTACTAGTTTCACTTCTTGCATTAGAACACATCCCAAGCCATTATGGGAAGCGTCACTCTAAACCACGTAGTTCTTGCCAGATTAAGGTTGAACCAATACTAGAGCTTCTGTTAAAATTTTCTTTAACATTTCAAAACTTTCTTGACACTCAGGAGTCCAAGCAAATGTTATATTTTCCTCATCAAATTGGTCAAAGGAAAAGCTATCATCGAAAAGTTCTTAACGAACCTTCGATAATAACCTGCGAGTCCCAGAAAACTCTGAACTTCAGACACATTCTTTAGAACTTCCCATTCTAAAATGGATTTTATCTTTTGAGGATCAACCCGTATTTCCTCTGTAGAAATCACATGTCCTAGAAATGCCACTTCATTTAACCAAAACTTCCACTTAGACAGTTTGGCATATAGCTTCTTATCTCATAAAATCTGCAAGACTATCCTCATATGTGTACTATGCTCTTCATTAGACTTCGAATACACCAGTATATTGTCAATGAAAACAACTTCAAACTGGTCCAGATAAGGTTAAAACATTCTATTCATAAGATCCATAAAAGCAACAGGTGCATTCGTTACCCCAAACAATATAACAATGAACTCATAATGACCATATCTCATTCTAAAAGCCGTTTTCGGAATATCTTTCTCTTGAATCTTTAGTTGATAATGATAACCAGAAAACAAATTGATATTTGAGAATATTGAAGCTCCCTTTAATTGGTCAAACAAATCATCAATTCTAGGGAGGGGATACTTGTTCTTTATGGCCACCTTGTTGAGCTGTCTATAGTTTATGCAGAGACACATTGAACCATCATTATTCTTTACAAATAATATTGGAGCTCCCCAAGGTGACACGCTTGGTCTGATAAATCTTTTATCCAATAATTCTTGTAACTTAATCTTTAATTCACTAAATTCTTTTGTTGTCATTCTGTAATGTGTCATTGCAATAGGTGATGTTCCAGACATTACTTCTATTTGGAATTCAACCTCTCTATCTGGAGGTAAACCTGTCAACTCTACAGGAAAGACATCTGGGAACTCTCTGACTATGGGAATATCTTCTAACCCTTTCTCCTTGGTTCTAGTATCAATCACATTAGCAATGAAACTCTGATATCCTTGTAGCGGTAACTTCTTTACTGACATCATTGATATTATATTTGCTAATGAATCCCTTCTTTCAATGATCACTATAACTTATAATCCTTCTGAACTGATCAATATTACCCTTTTCACTCTACGATCAATGTTGGCATGATAATGATATAACCAGTCATTTCCCATTATCACCTAGAATTCATCAAAGGGTAATTTCATCAGATTAGATGGGAATTCAATTCCCTGAATCCTTATAGGACACCCACGACATACTCGATTTACCCGAGCACTGTGCCCTAATGGGTTTGTTACTATCATATCACTACTAGTGGCTTCTAGCTGAATTCCCAACTCTCTCACCAATTTACTAGTAATATATGAATAAGAGGAACCCAGATCAATCAATACCAAAACACATTTATCATATAATGAGAAAGTACCTGCAATAATCTCCGGATCATCACGGTCTTCATTAGTCTTTAAATTGTAGACCCGAGTAGTCGAACGTACTTCCTGTTGAGTATAGGATTCAGGCTGATTTCTTCCTCTGCCTCTCTCTCTTCCTCTCTAAGACATCGAAGCATATCGCTCCGACTGTGCAGGCTCTCCAGCCATTATTGAACAATCCCAGATAAAATATCCGGTGTCCCCACATCTAAAACAAGCTCCAAAGATTACCCAACATGTTCTAGTATGTCTCCTTCCACAAAGCTGGCATTGCCTAGCTTGACCCTGATTAGATCTCCAAGTTCCAGACCCTACAGATTGAGTCTTTCTAGCTCTCATCGGATTTGATCCTCTAGCAGATGACGCATTTGACTCAGACCTCGTCTGAGATCTAAAACCATAATCTCTGCCCATCTTTGATGGTGCAAAACTCGAGAAAGCACCCGTTCTCTTAGATGTCTGAGCTTTTTGTTCTCCAAACCTCTCATTCTAAGCTCTCTCTAGAGCTTTAGCATGATTAACCACTTCTTGGAATGAGAACATATTCAAAACAATCAATATTTCTTTCAATCTTGGACGTAAGCCCTCAACAAACCATTCGCATGCATCCTTTTCGGTTGGAATCAGCTCAGCAGCAAAGCGACTTAACTTATTGAACTCGTACTCGTATTTATATATAGTGTAATTCAACTGCTTCAGGTTCAAAAACTCTTTCTTCATTTGCTTAATAAACTGATCGCCTGTGTATTTGTGCTTGAATTCCTCTAAGAACAAGGACCACATTACTTGATCACTTGTCATTCTCATGGTGACATTCGTCCACCATATTCTCGCTTGTCCACGAAGCAAGGAGACCACTCCATCTAGTTTCTCCACCTTAGAACAATGGATTCCATCTAGCATAATCTTCCCATCATTGAGCCAAAGGTCCGCAGCAACAAGACCTTCCTCGACTTCACCTTTGAACTCAGGAGCTCCTAGTCCTTTCAACTCTTTCATGACATTCATTCTATGAGTTGAGGGAGCAAGAGGTTGGAAATACGTCAAGATAGCATCCAACATCCTGAAGAATACATCTTGATCTTGTACAGGCACTCCTGAAGGTGCCTATTCTTCACCTTGCTTGGCCAGGGTAGGTGAATTACAACTCTCTTATGGTCTACCATATTTCTCTTCACTTCGGGAGCTCTCATGTTCAGAAATCTAATAAGACATAACCATATAACTCTATTAGAAAAACAACATACCGTTACTCTATCATATCAGAAGTTCTCACTATTTTGTTGGCATGTATACTTTTAAAGACACTCTGGACTTTGGTTTATGCCTAGAATCGGCTAAACCATAACTTTGATACCATTAAATGTAACACCCCCAACCCGTACCTGACACGGGTATGAATCCAATGTGTCATATTGACTTGTCAAAACATCTTTATTGAAAACATAATTAAAATTTAAATATACATGTGAATAAGTATGATAAAACATTTAATTAAAATAGATAAACACCATTCAACTTATTTTGAAAAGTAAAAAATCTAAATAATTTACATAAATATAATATTATAGGTTTACAAAAGTGATCAGAGTATATGTAATTCACACCTTTGTCTACATGCCAACATACTTATTACAACAAAATACATATATTGTAAATTACTTATGATCTGATCTTCTGGTAGAGGTATGTTGTCTTGGTATATTCTAATTCTGATCTTCCTGCTTCTTGGTATCTACGTGTGAAAGACTCACAAGCTAAGTCACAGACTTAGTGATGCATATAATACAATAATGAACTACCTAATTCATGAACATACAATCATAACCATCATATAACTATTCGACCATAACATATATGATCAATCATTAACAAATAATAACACATAATCTTATAAGAAAGTAAATTCTTTTTATATATTTTATGTGCCCATGTACATTATTGAGAACTTAAGGTATTTGAGTACAATGAGATTGTGCACATATACTGTCACCACATCTAATATAAATTTGCACTGAGTGCCATATAAAATATGTACCGAAAGACCTCATATATGTCCTGAAGGACCTCGTAGAACCCTTGACTCTTGGCATGCCAACTATACTCACAACTCTCACATCACATAACATGGGCTTTACCATTTATATGTTTCACATGTTCACATAATCAACCAAACCATCACATATATATGTACTCATATAACTCATATTATTTCTCATGTAATCCCATATGACCTATCTCATAACATATATCACATGTGCATATAAAGACTTATATCATATCATGTAGCTTATGTTTCCTTCTCTATGTTCACATAGATTATAATATATAAACATATACCACTTATTCATGTACTCAATATAATCATGACATCTATATGCTTATAACTATAGAACCATGAAATCAACATAGGAAATAGACTTATCACAGGTCTTAATATATCATGCACTCACCTTATCCTCACTTAGTCCAATCAACTCCTATAATTTGTTTTCTCTCTCGATCGATCTTAACTCTTCGATTATTCCAGAACTTGCTTATGTTCAATATCTACACAAATGTACATTTGATACGAATATTAGAATTCTAATCCTTATGAATCCAACAATAACCCAAGCTAAAAGAAGTAATTAATTTAAATTTCTACTTTAGGTAGTATCGGTACCCAAGGTATGGTATCGATACTTCTTTTACTGTGGTATTGATATTGTGCTTTGGTATCGATACCCTTTCCCGGTTCTAGAATTTCATTTCAAGAATGGTATCGATACTTGCTTAATGGTATCGATACCCTTAGTACCAATACTACCCTTTAAGTATCGATACTCCTTGAATAACTTATCCACTTTTGTCTTATGGTATCGATACTTTTCAACCAGTATCGATACCCATACAACAAATATCACACTTTTTCTCTTTGAAGTATCAGTACTGGATGAACAATACCGATACCCCTTGCCTAGAATTCATTCTTATAACCTAAAAATTCACCAATACTTACTTAAACCTTTCATTTTGAACTTATTTCATGTTATTTAACTCAACTACACTTACTCAAACCATCTTATATCCATATAGCACATCATCATCTTCAATACATCATTATAAATCTTGAAACCAAGAATCTTACTAAATTTCCAACATGTTCTAATTTCCTTTCTAACACTTAATATTTCTTATTCTAACTGATGACAAGTCAAATTTAGTCTCAAACTTCACTTAATAACCCCTTTCCAAAATTTCACTTGAACACCTTTTATATTAAATCTTTCCTAACTATCTCATCTTTTGGTTTTAAGAAATCTTAAGTTTTCCTTAAGCTTAAGTGTTATCTAGAGAACATCAACCATGCTTAAATTTGATAAATAATCAATAAACATGACATTCACCTTTTTCAAATGGGGTTCACGACTAAAGAAGGAAGAAGAATGAAGATAATTCTGGATATTTTCCTTTCCCTTTCATATCTCCACGTGTATATAACATAACCAATACCAATTTTTAATTCATTTACTGGTCAAATGACCATTGTGCCCTTCTATTCATCATTCTTTTCTATTCAATCCTACATAAAAATATTCCACTTAAGTCCTTAAACTTTTCATTTTATCTAATTTAGTCATTAAATTCTAAAATTTTACAATTTAGTCACTAACCTGGTGTTTTGGATGTTACACCTCTTGCATTACAACCCCTTTGTCCATTAATGCATATTATTTGTGTGTAATGGACACTTTTTTTTGGATCAATCACCTCTTTTAATGATGCAAATGATAAAAAGAGAACAAACATGAAAGAAAAACCAGTTAGTAAGATAGAAATAATAAAAGTAAAAATGATCACATAAACTGCATGCTTTGAATAACAAATAAAGTAGTAAATCACTCAATTGGAAATGGAGCTTCAGGGTGGGCTCTAATTCTTTGTCTCCTGGTTTAGGTTCTAAAAAAAGGTACTCGAGTTCTCCTTGCTGGTGCCCCCTTGGGCTTGTCAGGCCCTCAGTCCTAAGCCTATTACAAGTTTATGTTGACCAAGTTAAACTCGAGAGGACACAATCCCTTATGTCTATACGGAGAATAAATTCACACGAATACATAAGGTATATGAATCCCGAAGGTTACTTGCTAGGCCTATACGGAGAATAAATTCCCACGAAGGCGTCGCTTTCACCTCCACTTAAAAAAAGGTTTGGAGCTCGGGTATAGAGCATGAGATCAAAATTTTAAAATCTGAAATCATTGAAAAAACGTCAGTACAACTATTTATTTGAAAAATAATCAAAGATAAGTAATAATGACCGAATAAATAAATTAAAATTTAACCTTATAAATTTTTCTTAAGAAGACAACCGGAAATTAACTTTGGTTTGACTCACTTACCTGTCCCCAGTAGAGTCGTCAAGCTGTCGCAACCGTCTTTCGGGTGGGCCCGGAATTGGACTTCAACTTAAATAAAACATGCAAAGTTGCCACCAGTCATTTATATATATATATATATATTTCCAAACATAATTAGGTTGACCAGACACCTCAATTGACCATCTTACCTGATCTGTGTTTTACCAGAAATACGTCGGGTTCGGAAGTTGGTTACAGTCAAGG